GACTACTTATCTTTAAGAACATCCAGTCCCTATTCAATGACTTCAGCATGACCTTTCTTTATGAATTTTTAAGATAAACGATATATTTGATGCCAATGTCACAAGCACAAGAAGCATATATGCATATTGCTCATGAGTCTAAACCAATAGTTCTATAAGCATTCACAGGAACAGAATAAAAATATCACCAAATGCCTTTTTGCCGTGACTTCTGAAAGACGGCTTTACTTACACTCAGCAGGTGATGATGAAGTCTTTTGCCTGATCATGGTATGCTGCTGTGTGTAAGACTTCAGGGACTGACTAAGAGGTGCTTACTGCTGTGCTAAAGGATTTTAATTTACTTAAAATTTGGGGCATAAAAGCCTTTTCCTTTTACTGACATACATTTTATTGAGTTCTAAACTGCATATTAAAGTTCATCGCTATTAAAATGACTCATTGTATATATTCATGGATATCTCCACAAAGGAGCACAAAACACTCTGTACTAAGGTTTTTTTCTTCATTTCCTACTTTTTATTTCTCTTTACATTTTCAGGAAAGACAGAAGAAGATATACATTCTATTCCGTAGCTATTCCATTATTAAAAAACTAGCCTTACTCTCTAAAACACAAGTCCTGATTTTACAAAGCCCAAGAAATTAATTTTGACTACAGTGCTGAAGAGGCTTCAAGGGGAAGCCTCCACTCACTGGACACCTGGTATACAAATACTACATAACATAGGGAGATGCAACTGTGAATATAGCCAACTGCACCAAAACCCCTAATAAGGCTTGTTCTTGCCCACAAATTTCTGCACACACTTATTTCTCACCTTCGCTTTTCTATTTTAGAACATGAAACCCTGCACAGACTTGAGATGTCAAGGATGCATCATAAGACTTTCCACAGGCTTCTGTGCTTCTGCCAGGCCCTTCATTGTGGTCAGATTGTGGCTGAGGCAGTCAAATACTTGGAAAGAACAGCCTCAGAATAAGATAGAGTAAGCTGAAAAGAAGCAGAAAAACTTTCTCGGTTAGAGATCTTAACAAGTTGGATCTGTCTCTTCTAACGTAGATTTTGACCTATTTAGCCTCTTATGAGCTATCAGAGCTGTTAGTCCAAGCCTGAAAAAAGCTTTGGGTTTGCCTACCAGGTTTTTCAAAAGCTGGCAGAAACCAAGCTAATGTTTGCTACACTGACTCTTCTAAAGCCTATCCTTAGGGCCAAAGCCAATCTTTCAGGCAATGCGCACTGCCAAAACTTCTGATACCTTCTAAAGAAGACTGTGACAGCTGTATAGACATTAAGAGGAAAAAAGCAGCATGTGGTATAACAGTATGATCTGATGGTGAAAAAAAAGCTTTGGCTTGAGGAGTTGTTTCTGAAGAACAGCATGGTTCTCTTCTGAGACTCATGGAAAGTCTCTATAGGGGAGCATCAGTGGAACTTACATTAATTTTTCCTCATTGATCTCTCTGGTGAGGAAAAGTTGGCTCTGGATAGCATGTTAGAGTAGAGCTTCTCAGACTGAGGCATGCACCAAGTTACCCAGCACCATGGATGGGAACCACCATGAGAATGAGATGGTGGCCACGACGGAAAATACCAAGAAACGGCTCCTCCTGTTTCCTGCACCTAACATGATTTCTCATCCTAAAATCCCAATACGAGTGACACGACTCTGATTTATATATTTGCTTGACTTCCCACTGTTAGCATGCAAGGCTAGGAAGGAGAATAATGAGAAAAAGCTCAGATAACTTTTGAGAGAGCTAGTTCAAGAACTGGAGATTTCTTATCAACACTGCAGAAGAACCCAATATCGAAATGCTTAGCACTGCAGCAGAAGTTTTTGCAGACAGAATGAACTCCACTTCAAAGGTAAAGTTAAATCTCTGCTGCTGTAAACTTTATAATGAATACTGATACCAAGTACAACAAACTAGAAAGAGTTGCCGCTGGAATAGGTGATTTTATCATGACTTTCACTGAGAGGACAGCAATTCAAAATGCTGGAACAGAGTGCAATGGAAATCGGAAAGAAGATGCCAGGGAAAATATTCAGGGACTGTAGTGAAGGAAGCTGATGACTGAATCATAAACACTGTCAAGCTGTCTACAAGTTAAGCCCTGAGCCATTTTTTCACTTAAAATAGACGACAAAGGGCTCCTACCTACCATATTCAAGAACATCCGTGGCTTCCTTCTACATTCCTGTAAGGACTTTTAGCACAACTTTCCTCTCACATGAATATAGGTATAAAGTCCTGCACAAGAATACAGTAGAAGATACCTAAACCGGCACTCTGATAAACAGCAAGTCTCTCTACTGTCAAAGAACGCATTCAGTGCAGCACACCGCAATGACTCAAGCAATGAGCACATCACATCTTGTCAAGTGACTGTCCTGCTGCAGTTGTTTGCAAGCCCGTATCATTCACATGTATCAATTAAAAATGGCTAAAAGGCCTTTTTGCTGTTAGACTCCATGACATTTTACATGAATCTACCATTTTTTCAGAACTAATGAAAGAGTTTCATTAATGTTACTTGTAATGTGTAGGCACAATGCTAACTTTTTGAGCAATTAATGACGTAAGAGTCTCCCTCATCAGAATCTATTGCTGTTAGTGTCTGAAAATGGCACCGACCCCAAACCTTCATACTTCTGTTTCTATAGTGACTTGCCACCCAAACAAATTCCATTGCACTTCCACATTGTCTCCACAGCTCTTCTTTTCTGTTTCCTCCTAAGAACTCCAGCTACGCAGTTTCTTTAAGACAAAACTCCCACATTCGCTCTTTCATTAGAAGCCGTCAACTGGAAGACCCCACCAGAAGTCTGTGGCTTCCTGAGTAAAACTGAATAGCACAAGTTTAAATTATATTAGCCTTGCCTAAGCAGCACTGCTATGTGGATGAAGTACAATACATCACGCAAAGTTTGCTGAGGGATGAGCAGAGCAGCTGAGGATTCAGACACCATTCTGCAGCCAGATGCACTTCCTTCTCACCACTGAAAATTCCCCCACTGTGGTCAGTGTGCAGACTGGCCATGTGTAAGACTTTGCACAGATCTCCTTGTGCATGTGTGTGCTGGCTACTGTGCTTACTCACTCTTTTCTTAACACCCTAACTTCCACGCAATTAACATACTCACCTTTACATATTCAGAAAATGACAATGTCATAGTATGTTTAGGAAAAAGGGCAATAACCTGAGTAAATATTTTTATCATCTTCTTTAAAATGGCTATTATATTGCACAAAAGGAGATCTGTACCTTTCCTCACCAAAAAAACCCCAAACCAACCCAAAACATACCTAACCCCACCTCCTTAATTTCTTCTCTTAAAGAATGTAATTTGAAAACTGTTCATGGGTATGGTCTGCTGGAAGTTCTCAAGATGCTGCTTGGGTCTTTTGCCCTACAGACCCAGCTGACTGTTCTCATTCAGGAATGAAACTACTAGGAAAGTGTTCCAAAACCAGGAAGTCTAATCCATTAAATGTGAATTACTGCAGTTAATCAGGCTTTTCATTAGCATATGGCTAGTTTATAAACTCATCATATCACAGTGCTTCCAAATTTTTCAGTATTTAACCACCACTATGTACTTATCCTATCAGAACCAACGAATTGTGCAAACCACGAAATAGCACTGGAACAACAGAATTCGAAAGAACCAAGCAATTTAATCGTACCTCAGCCCTAAAGGCAATGACCATGAAGTTCAAATAATTAAGGTTTATCCTGTAACCATAAGAACACAAGGTGAAGGCTGTAAGATTAGTGGGCATTTTGACTAACAACCTTACCTTGCAACTAGTTGGCACAACATGATGCATTTTTTTATTTTTATAAGTACTTTCCATGAGAAGGGAATGGAAAGCAATCAGAGTGAGAGGCTGTGAGACCTGCTGACTGGTTGCACAATAAAGGCTAAGACGTAAAGTGAAACCCTGGGAGCTGCTGCATCTTGAAATAGCATAAAACCAAACGCCTTCTATCTGGAGTAAATTTGATTGGTATTTCTCTTGAATACACGGTGTATTTGGCACTGTAATTTGTTTTAAACAGTGATTGGCATCAACATTGTTGTGGTTGCATTCATTTTCATTAGAGGATTCACTTCAATAACTACTAGTATTAATTGTTTGAAATTATTTGTATTCTGACAACATCCACAATGCTGTTGGCACTGTCCACCCACACAAGAAAAAACTGCCCTTTTTTAAAGAGTTTACAATCTGAGATCAGCTGAATGTTGCAACACTGCAGAGAAAATCTGAGTCCAGAAATAACATAAAGCATTATGATTATCAGATCAATAACTAAATTAGGGTGCAATAAATCTTGGAAGGCCAGAAATTACTGAATCAAGATAAAACTTCAAGATACATTATCCTTCTAGAATGGAAGCACAGATCTTTATTTATTAAGATACTGAAATATTTATTAATAAAGCTGGGGTCTCAATGATGCTGAAAGCAATTAGACAATGCGTTTTAAAGGGAGCTGCACATGTAAATTCCTTTGTCTCATTTGAAAATTGCAGCCAACGGCAGCAATCATGTTTGGTTTAAATCATCCTATCATCCTGGGAAACAAATCCATTAGTCCTTCATTCTAGGCAAGAATGAAGTGTGGGTGAGGGAGCAAACATGGTGGGAACATGGATATCTGCAGCTGATTTATGGCATGTCCTGAGCTAATAAAGAAAGCGAAGTTCAAAACGACACCAACAGCAGTGAAGGCGAACTAGATCCTGGCAGGATGATAGTGATTGTGCAGATCACGAGAAAGCAGTCAGTAGTGACAGTCAACCTTCATCCTCTGTGGAGGCAAGCAGGCATCCAGTCTGTAAAGAATATCTTACCAATCACTTCTTTTTGCTGAAGGGCGTTTTTGGGGTGAGGAAACAATACAAGGTTTTCTTTGCTGTGTTCTACGGTGTTTCAAAGCCATCCTCTTTGTCTGAATATTGGTAACACATAAATATGCTACTTACTCCCTCATGTGTTTCAGTTTGGCCTCAGCCATAGTGATGTTGAGAGCTCTGAATCCCTGGGGCACCCCTGGAGACACTCCGGTGACAGTCCCCGAGCCTGCAAATCAATGCACAGACACATAACCTTATTCACCTTCATCCCCTGGGCTCTATTGTAGAGTCAAGGGCAGTCAGAAGGAGGAAGACTATCCCTGTTTCTCACAAGGTAGTGCCACATTAATTAAAGATGAATTAGACAATTAAACGCACATTAAGGGTAACTCCTTTCTGAGGGACAAGTAGATTTATAGCTTAAAGGCACCAGAATTGTAACAACAATTTTGCTTCTGTGTAGCATACAGGGAATTACAACAGAAAGGACAGTCACTTGAGGAAGTGCTGGGACAGACAAATATTCAACAAAATGCAATTTGCATATTTTCCTCCATTGTTCTTGCACTTATAAGAGCAAGAACCTTCTTCTTAACAGGCAAGTCTCCTGTAGCTTGATCATTAATGTAAACTGAAAGTATTTAACTTACAACACCACTTTCCCCTTCAGACAAAGGTATGCACATATATATAAAAAACCCCTGTATAGGATCTATTGCTCACAGACCGCTGTGGAGACTCATCCACAGGAACACAGAGGTGCTGAATCACAGAGGACTGTCAGGGTTCTCAGCTCAAATATCCTCCAATTTCATGTTGCCATTCCATCACACAAGTCTCTGCTTAACCTAAGGAATTTATTTATTTATTGCCCCTACCCTTCCCATTGGAAACAATTCCAAAGCCTCACTGTGACCTGGTGGCTAAAATCTCTACTCTAATTTCCTGACAAAACTTTTTTATTGGCCAGTTCCTGCTCATTTTTCTCCCATGCCAGTCCTTTCCTTGGGCTTACTCAGTTCTTTCCTTCCCTTCTGCATACTCCTTTCATTAGTTTATAATTGGAAAAAAAATATCCTACTTCAGCTTTCAATTTGTTAAGCCAAATAAAGCAGCTATTTTAGTTTCTTCTCACAAAATATCTGGCATTAGGATTTCATTTCCCAAAAGAGGATGATATTTATCATGGTGGAACTATATCCTGCGTAAATATGTGCGGGGTGGCACACAGCACCCAACTTCTGAACAGATATGGGAGGGCTCTGCATAGGATGTGAACAAGCCAAAAGTCACACAAACACATTAACAAAATACCTCGTTTGAATGAAAACACTCTCCTCTTCCAGCAGGGGTTTTTAGCTTGGGCTCAGCTGGAGTTTAGTTTGGATTGCATTAATATTGGTCACATACAGCCAGCAGGAGCTTGCAGCTACCTTCCTGTTATGGCAGTATAGACACCCCGGGAGACTACTGAATGCTTCCCTGGAAGGCATAATCATGGCTTTCCCAGGAGTCAAGCTCCTGCGTCTTACATGATTCTAGATCCTGATCACATAAGGTTGAATACTGAGATGAAAACTTTCTATCATGAGGAATCCTACTGAACTGCTCACATAAGTGTCTGCTGGATTCAGAGCTTTGCTGGATTCAGAAGATAGGAAGCAGGCATGGAAAGAGACCACAGAAGACATGTTATCTAGCTATGGACAAATGATTTGACTTTTTAAAAACATTTTCCTAACTTCTTTTTACAACCAATGGCTAACAGATGTCTGGTGCTTAAGTATTACAACTGAAATACAGTTAATGTAGTTTAAAAGATGAAAAATGACAAGCTCAGTTCTTAGTAGCAACCGATAACTTCACCCATTGATGGAAAAAACCATATCCTGATTGTTCACTGTAACACTACACACGCATATCCATACATTTTTACATGGGGTCTGTAACATTCAATTCCTTTAGCGGCACTGGAAAATTCGGCTATCCTCAGAGTGGCCCTGAGGAAAGTCCCAGTCCTGTGCAAAGCAATGCTCATGACTTACTGGGTGGCACACTCCTCTTGGACTAAGCATAGAATTGAAAGCCAGATGTGCGGCTTTGGGGCTTCAAAAGTAATAAAAAATTGATGCCCTGAGCACCAATGGTCTAAGGAATATATAATCTTTGCATTCTGTTAAGAAAGAGTACATTTAACCACAGGCCTCAGCTAAATTCTGGTATTATTACTATTACAGGATATATCACTGCAGTAAGAACTCAGCTACTGTTTCTGCTTAGTGGGTTCAATCTATTTATTGCGACAATATGTCCTTCTCCTCTGACATTTCATTATTAAAGACATCCTTCTTGTTTTTTCTGGGATTCCAGGCTAAATAATTTGTACTTTGTCTGCTCTCCCCATTGGCAATTGGCCAAGCAAAACTTATTCTCTACACCCAAACTAGTATCTATCTTCCTCTCCATTTAATATAATTTTCTGGGTACTATAAGGCAGCTGCAAGGACTACAGACTGTAGGATGCTGCAAAGCTGTGGTTAGTCATAAAAAAAGTTAGTTCTCAGTGAAAACTGCTAAGAGCTTTTCATGTTGTTGCTACAACAAGCCTCAAAATTTTTTCCTGGGGTGATTCATAGCCCACACCAACTTCTATATTACAGGTATTTCCTTAGAAGCAATCACTTGATTAATAAGCTGCTTTACACCCAGCTTCAAGTCGTTTGCCTACCAATACATCAACACAGAACAAGGAACTATGCTTCTTCAGAAAGTGGCCAAGTAACTATTTGCATTTTTATGCAATATATCATTCTCAATTCATTAAACAAAATCAAATGAAAGAACAAGAGCACTGACTTTTCAAAACCAAGTATTGTGGCTTTCTAAATGAATTTCAGAGATGAATAGCCCAGTACTGCAGAGAACAACATAGGGCAAAAGATCTTTGTCCTCTCAGGTCATGGAGCACCAGTTTGAGGTTCTTACTGTATCCTTACTACTCTGTCAAAGGGAAGATGAAAGGATCTGCAGGGAAACAAATCTTCTGGCTGACATTTATTCACAGGTATGTACGTTTAAAATGGGTATTTATGATTATCTGGTGAGACTTTTCCTACATTATGGCCCAAAGGCATTTCTACCAACATTTTGTTAATGACGGAATAATTGGTAACGGACATCTACTTCATCTCTTGGTAATCCATCACGTGTTGTGAAGCTATTATCTCTACTTAATCATAGACTTCTGTTTGGATTTCAGATTTCTTTCTTCAGTTTTCACTGCTACGTATGAGATCTTACAATGCCTTTTTCTACAAGAATAAAAAGCTCTTTAGAATCAGATGTATTTTCCTGAGTTTATAAACAATACACAGTGACACAACTGCCTCTAGCCTTCTCCTCCTTTAAGCTAAGCAGTTTTAGTAACTTGCAAACGTGGTCTTTCAAACTTCATTTTGAAGATCTTTTTTGAGATCTTCCCAATTTCTTCAAACTTTATAAGCATGGACTATCGTATTTCAAACATACTCCACACGGAACTGTATAGCCAACCCAAAATGAACCTTGTACCACACTAAAGCACTGGTATTCACAGAGATTCAGTGGGAACTCTTGGGGAGAAAACTGTTACTTCAAAGTCCTTTTACCCTTCAACACTTAGGTTTATATTAAAGAAACTCCACCTGTGGAAAAACAACGCATATTTATTGCATCCTCTTTATCACAGCCCTTGCTGACATAGAAGAAGTTCTGGTTTTATTCTACTCAGATGTTCTTTAACATCTGCTTGAAATGGCACGTAATCTTTTCACAATACATTTAACAATGAAAGACACCACAAGAAATTCTGGCCAGGTTAGATTTCTGCAATTGCCCTATTATTGCCATGAAATCCATGCTGTTTTCAGGAGTAGCCATTCTGAAATGATGTTGTAGCTCTGTAGCCCGGTAATATGGTACTGGGACTGCTATTACCAGGTCACACACTTAGACCTGAGTTTGCAAGGCTTCAGGCTTTGTCTGAACTTCTCTTGACCTGCCAGAAACTTTGATTTAATTGCTTAAGATGTAACAGCAGTTCTTCTAATGACCAGGTAGTTGTGGCTATTTTCTTTTATTTCCACTTATTTTTTGTATCATACAACCCAGATTTTTAGATGGATAGTAGTATTCTGTGTATAATGACACACTTATAACTAACTTAATTCAATAAATGTAAAGAAATACATGCCTGGTACAACAGCAGATGCCTTGAATAGTGGGGACAAAGAATGAGGTGTAAAGGACTATGGGCATGGGATGACAAGAGGTGGGGTACAGGCTGGTACTAGCAATCACGTGGCTATAACCAACATGCTAGTGAAAAGTTAAAGAAATGGAGACCTGGAAGTGGACATGACTGGCTTTAGTGTGAGCAAAGAGAACAAGCATCTAACCTACCTGTGTAAAATGCATGCACCATATACAGAAAAATTTTGATGTAACATGAATTTGAAGCCCAGTGAAGAAAAAGCAAGGTATAAATGAATATTAGCAAACCCATAAAAATGGCCCCATCTTCAGCTTTGTAGCTTGACATTGGAAGAGCTTAAAATAGTAAATGTTTAAACTTCCTCAGTGATACTGAGCATACAAAGATAAAAGGGACCCTAGAGGATTTCTCTCTTATCATCACATCTGTTTGTTTGGAATAGATCATACAAACCTAATTACTAACTCCGCTTGGAGAAAGGCTTTATGTTTCAGCACAGACTGGTCAGAGATTTTTTTAATTACTAAAGCACAATTTAATTCTTTAATATTACAATTTAAAAAGGCATCTTCTTGTTCTTAATACAGAAAGAAAAAGAGGAAGACAAGAGTCTCTTTAATACTAAGATTTTTTAAAAATACCACTGTTTGGCTAATACTCTGGGTTATTCCCAGCAGCCCTCAAGGCAATTCCTCTCTTTCACTAAAATAACAAAATGGTGAAGCATAGAGCTAAATTTTGTCCCTGTTTCCACTTCTTCAAACCCACCGCAGACAATGACGCTGCAAATGCATAAATGAGTGCAGAATTTGAAGACCATAGGATCTCCATTAGTGTGAAGACAAACTAGATGTGAATGTTCCTTCCCTCAATTCTAAGGACCTCCCTGACATGCGACCCAGAAGGTGAACAGAAATGATTTGGTGGCTACCAGACTGTGATGGCCACAGCTTTGATTATTCCCTTTCATCCCTTTTCTTCTTTGGTTTTCTCTTCCCATCAGTCCATGCTCACGAGCAGGGCTGAAAGAGAGCTCAGCACTGGAGGAACCTCTACAAAGAGAATTTCCCAGGCTTCCCCTACATTCTCGTATCAGAGCCACAAGATAATGCTGAGTCAGGTTTATCCCGACTGAATGAGCATAAATGAGACAGCTAAACAAGACCACAGCTCCCATGGGAGCCTTTGGGAACTCATGCGGGCTTTCATGCAACTCACACGCAGGCTGCTGATGGCACAGTTCAACCCAGTGGTCTTCAAGGACAGTGACCACCCCAGCCTCAGTAAATAGCCTTCTTTCATGTAAGTTTTCTTTTTACCTTTTAGAAAACCAGCTTTCAAACTCTGAATTTATAGACAGAATTTGCAGGAGATTTTAGGATTAAATTGCAAACAAATTCTCTGTGATTTTTCTGTGCCTGTGATGAGATACTTAAAAAAATAAAATTAAAATCTTTTAATTCATTTTTTCATATTGTTACCAGTACTAGAAACTACAAAACAACCTACACGTCCTTAAATATTCTCCTCTGGAGAAAAGATGGCAGAAGCCAAGTTTTTAAAAGCTTTTGTTATAACATTCCACATTTCTGACCACCATGCTTTATGGTTCTATTATTTTCAACAAAAGCACTTCTCTGTGTACGCCTTTTCTTTTGGCATATTTATAATTCTCTGCAGTATATTAAGGAAGCAATTTTCAAGAAGATCACATTTTTTGAATTATTTTGTTGCAAAATAGAAATAATTGGACTGTGATGAATACAGACTGCTAATAACTGCTGCTATTACATTTAAAGAACAGATACCATCTTACCCAATGAGCTATTATTCAGGACACTCTCCAAATACTTGACCATTGCCTCAATATCACTGTCCTGTGGACAAATGAAACAAGGAATAGCATTAGTGTGAGCACAAACTTACGTATAAACAGTATGTACCAGAGGTGTGACCCCACAAACATAAAGGATATCAACTACACCAACGAGTGACAACACTAGACTACAAAGAGTCTGTGTTGCTTAGGACTTTTTCTATGTTTTCTTCTCCCAAAACACCAGGCTTGGAAATGATGTTATATACAAAGAATTATTTATGTCAGAGTACTTGCAAAGACACAAGTGTGTAGAACAATTGTGCATGGAGTTTAAAGAAGATAGGTTTACTGTGGAGGGTGGTGTGCAATGTCTGAACATACACCAGCATTTTACTGTCAGTTAGTCCTGGAATATCTAAAGCAACTGAACACTGAAAAATGCAAGTATGTACTTAACTATGCCAAAATTTCTTATGCTGATGATAGCTGCCCACTGCAAATTAATACTTATGTTTCATGTAATTGCATCTACTTACATATCTAGTAACAATGACTAATTGAAAAGAATTTAATTAAGAAGAGATTTTAGCACTTTTCTATTTCAAGTATTCCGTTACCAGACAGATGATTAACAGTTTTGCCATGATATGTCTCATGTGAAATGCTGTTTGTGTACACAGATGAAATTTAATGATCTGGCCATTAAGTAATCATTGTGTTCCAGATCCAAATTTTATTAAAGTCCAAGAGAAACTTATACTCTGAGTTTCTGGAAGGTGCTGCCATATCACATTTGACAACAGGGCATTTCCTGACTACATAAAACTGAAAGTCAAAATCTTGACCTTGATGAAGGAAAAAAAAAGATTAAATGAACCTTTTTTTCAAAACTGCTAATATAAATTTATAGTTATTTCTACTTTCATTATCACTAACAGTAAACTGCAAATCTATAGACAGACAGACAAAAATATGGCAAATGGCCACATACAATACGAATAAAATTTCTTTAAAAAAAACTTTTATTCTTTTTTAATGGCATAAAGACTGTAATTCGCAAATCTTTGACTTCTTACAAGTCCAGATTTCACTCTAAATATCACAACAGAGCTGATTTCTTCTCATTACGCTGTAACAGCAAAGATATACTTTCAACACTTACATCACCACTGGTTTTCAAGGAAACTAGCTGCCTTAACTTGGCTGTCTTGAAATAAAATTTCGATGAGGAAGAGAATGTGGTTTTCACACAGTGGTAAATAGTTGAATAAATGGTTAATAAACTTACACTGATGTAGATACTACCTATGCCTTTTCTCCACTTGGGTTTGGCAATCCAAGAGGATTTTATAGCTGGTTTATTTAATATGCATATCTAAACATATTTCTTTAATGTTTCTCTTTTTTACAGAGAAAGCAAAGGCCTACCGAATAGGCCAGGGACTTCGACAGACGCACAGAAGAAAGGCAGTTTTGCGGTGGATAAATGCTTCCACGTTTCAAATTCAGAACAAATGAACCCTTTCTAAGAGCAACAGGTCATGCCACAGTGTGTATGAGGAATCCAGTGGTGCGTTTTTTTGGGTGACAGCACACAGACCACCCACAGCCGCTGGAGCTGTGATAATTTCTACCAGCTCATTATCTGGCTTGACAATCTCAGAAGAAACCTGGAAATTGAAAATAGGAAGCTAATGTACCATATTAGTAGGCTTTGTCATATTGAAGAGGGCAAATTTGCTATTATTGTCACTAAAAGAAAATACAAAGAATAAGAAGATAAACTTCAGTAAAAAGCATCCACTAGCATCTCAGCTAAATCAAAGCCAGTGAAAACTTCACTGTGCACTAACTTTTCAAGATGAAACCTCTCCTAAGCGTCACATTTCTTATTTTTTTCTAGAAATATTTAACATTCCATTTCATGTTTCCCCCCTAATTAGAAATCAGTGTTCCTAGAAACAAACACGTGGAAAAGAGCCACTGGCTTGAAGAGGTAGAGCTCTGGAAAAGTAACTGGCAAATTGCTGCTTGAAATCTGTCAATCTGCATTTCTGCTCCAAAAGAGAGGGACAAAGGACACTAAACTCCAGTGCTACAACCAAGATGAGAGGTCCAGATGTGCTTAGGGTCTGAAATTGGTGGTAACTCCACATCTGCAACTGGACAATGCAGCTGAAAATATACAGGCTGTATCGAAAGAGAACAACATAGGAAAAATAGCTGTCTCAGCTCCCATCTCAAACCTTTAAAATTCTACTGTTCCAGTGCCTAACTCTACCTTCTTAACTGAAGAGGTGTTGCATCCCACATAAGGCCACCTCTCAGCCTGTCTTGACATCTGTGGGAGCCTAACATAGCTTGAATAAATAGCTTAGATCTCTTTCTACATCGTACACCCCAATGTGTTGTTCGATTAGATGACTTTTCTGACCCCATGCTACTGCATGAACATCAGAATTTTTTTTAATCTTCATTTGAAGTAATGGGGTCACCAGGGAGCACTGCCAGATGCAGCGTTTCCGCACTTCCTGCACAGAAGTAACTAGTAAAGCAATCTTGGCACCGGAAAACTGAGAGATTTGCACAGATTAGGAAGGTAAATATCTTACACATCGTTATCCTGTGTTGCAGTGGAATGACTTCTTTATTAGCACACCTCCAAAAGCTAAATTTATGAAAGTATTTTTGAAGAAAGGGTTTAAGAATCCCATCATAGAAATAGGAGTAGGAGTTTTGGTATTAAATAAATGATTGCAGAAGCAAACCCCTGCTATATATTAGCAAGATCAAACCTATTCTGGTAGGATTTGAAGCTTATTATTAATATTGAGCATGATCCCACCTACCTTTGAGTGGGTTTCATGTCACATAACTGTTGACATTCAGAATGAAGATGTCCCATGCACGCTAATAACTGCAGATCCTTTTATAAACGTCAGAGAGAGACACCTCTCAGCATATGCCATCTAATCTACACTAGATGTTTACACCAAGATAACATTATTCCCTAAAAATGCTTGCTCACTTCCCCTTACTGTACAGAATTTTCATTCAGTTAGTTCAGACCTAGGTATCCAAATTTGCACAGCTAAGTTCAGTCTGCTTTGACCTCGGACTTACTGCAGGGTTTTTCACTCAAGAAAGGAAAAATTGAAAATTGTGCTCTCTTCCCAAGAAAAAGAAAAGGTGATTGTTCTAATATCCAGAAACACAATTCTGCTTTATCTAAGGTGCTGGGGTCAACATAAGGAAAAACACAGACAGACAGACAATTAGTTTCTTTGATGGAGAAAGTCCTAGAAGGCAAATGTCACAGGGGGTGCTTCCCAGTCAGTCTGTGTAGGCCAGTTTGCAGAGGGCTAATGCTCTGTGTGCACTCAGACTGCTGGTAAAGCCAAGCCTCAGGGCCATCGGGGCTGGATTCAGACAAGAGGTGCCAGCGGGGCAGCTCTTCCAGCCCACAGTGAAGGTTCTTGTCATCACCGAATACTGAGTCACTTCAAAATGAGGGAATGTCGCTGCTCAGATCTGACTGCCAAGACCTAATTTATTCTGCATTATTCAGAAATCTATTTTTATCTTCTGCCCCTGGTTAGTTTTAAGCAGCAGTCTGCCTGTTCAAAAACACTATTGATTGACACTTAATGACACCGTCAATGAAAGTTGAATGAAAATTTTAAAAGGCTTTCTAAAAAAAAAAAAAAAAAAATTATCTCAGAGTCTGATGAAAGTGAGCAATAATTTTCAGGAGTATCTTGTGGTAGACTTTCTGGGCAACAGTGTTTGCATATCAATGTGTTGTGGGTAAACGCAGACCCAGCAAACAGAAAAAAAGCATTGTCTTAGATATTCCACCGATTTACAATTGACTAAAAATTTCTTCAGACTAGTACTGTATAAACAGATCCTGAATTTTGAAACATCTTGTGTGTTTACTTTGAAAGCTAAGAGGTTATTTCTAGATCGAATGAAGCTGTTTCTGAGTAAACTTACAAGTTCAACTGGTGAGAGTATTTCAGGACTATACAAACATTTTATTTTTGCCTTAAAAACTACATCTTAAAGAAGCTATTAGTACAAAATTTTCAAAAATCAGTACAAGTTATTTATAATTTAGTGAAGAGTTTTAGTATACACAGTTGGTTCCCTAAAATGCAAAAGACATCACACGCTGTTCTGCAAAATCCGCATGTAAACTCAGAATAACATATTATGATCCTAAGCAGAAGCAGACAGTACCATTCAGAGGCACCATACACAATGCTTTAAGCTGGTGGCCCAGGGGAGAAATCAATTGTTCCTGAATACCTTAGGAAGATCCATTTTCAGAACTGACTTGGGCATTTAAGTTCATTGATTTCACTGAGACCTGATCACTGGAGACAAGATTCATCTCAGCTCATTCTTATCAGATCTAAATTAGGTGCCTCTTCCAATAATCTTCAACTTTCTTCACACTGCAATCCCTAACACTTTCTTGTGGCAGCCTCACTGGATAAAGCTACTTTAAGCTTTTCAATAATAAGTTTTCTCTTCACTGACACTTCCTGAGATTCTTGGGAAAGTCTACAGATTTGCTGGTTAAGTCTTGCAGTTGTTTAGGCTCACAGTTCATCACACTATCCTAGAAAATATGTCTAATATAGGCAGGATGAAGTGGCAACTAGAAGTGCCTATCTTTGCCCAGGAATTAGAGTTGGAACTTTGATCTTTTGCTTCAACTATACTTTCAGTTTTAGTTTAATTTACCTATAGCTAACACGTAAGAGAACCCCACTCCGAGCATTCTGCAGTCACAAGGAAGTTTACTGACAACAATCCACAACAATCCACTTTAAGGCATTCATGGGACTGTTGTCCATCATCTTGAAGGAATGCAGGAATCTTTCTAATCAATGTCTCAGAAGAACTACATATGTATGCATACCTAATTAATTCACGGTTTTGATATACACACACATTCCTAACAAAATCAAATTTCAGTAATGTTAGTAGGACAAAATCTTGGAAGGAGCTTAGTTTTCTTATGGAAAATCAGCATCACGTGTATACTGTTTTCCCAAAGGTCACATATACCTGCTGATTTGTCTTCAAGATCGCCTGTGATACTTCCACATCCTCCTCCTCTTCACTGCCTTCTGAACAGGATTCAAACTCATCATTATAATATTCTTCTGCAATTTCTGGGTCTTCAGGGATCTCTAAGGGCAAATAGGAGTTTAAAGTACGTAGACAGACAGACAACATGCATGACATTAAAAAGATAAAATGGATTTTATACTGCCCATGTTATGTCACTAGCAATGCATTCTGTAATTTACATCAAAGGACAGGTTCTCAGATAAAAATGTTCATCTTTGATGACATGACAAGCTGTGTTAAAGCTGTCTCTGGCAAAAGGACAGATCCTCTTCTCATGTAAATTAATAATCTCAAAGTATTTATATTGATTTTGGCCCCAAATCACTGAATCATAGAATACTTCAGGTTGAAAGGGACCTCATGGGATCATCTAGTCAAAGCAGGATCAGCACTGAATTGAATCCAGCTTTCACGAGCTGAAAGTATGCTGTAGTTTAGTTTTCTCTAACACACAAAACCTGTGGTGAATACAACTGCTAAGTTAAAAGAGAAAATAACATATACCAGGCACATGTTTAAAATATGAAAGAAAGAAAGAAAATCTGTATCTTTTTCCAAACTTTTCTGAAGCAAAAGCATAACAAAATAAAAGAAACTGGTGTAAAGTCAAGCCATGCATACTTTGGTGTCATGCTCTCTCGGTTTGTTACTGTCACAAGTTCTAGTAATAGCAGTGAGTGCAATATTAATATAGCAAATGAGCCTATGAAGTACAATAATTGTTATTAAAACTCAACATATTCATCACAGCATGAAAGACATCCTAGCCACTCTGCTCTGGCTGAAATCTTTTAACATCCCAGACTGCGAAAGTAAGGAGTTAGTGACTGACTGCACCTGCTTTGGCAGGATGTCCTTGCTCAGCAGAAGCACTGAAGTAAATGTTGAATTTTAAGCAGAAGCTGGACTGTGGTGACTATCTGAATAAAAAGCAGAATCCCCACTTTTCTAGACAGAAAGCTGCAAGGCAAAGTGTTGCCCATGGGAGACGCGGGTCAGCAGCAGAAGACAAGGGAGCCCAGCTCTTCAGCCACCCCATCGGTAGCCCTAAGCATTCACGGAGAGAGACACTCCAGCAGAGCTAGCCCCCATGCTTTGATTTTAGGCAGTCCCTTACTGACTTCTCAAGGTAAGTTACACCAAGTCCAGGAACAATATTTTTATGCTAACAGTTTTCAAAAAGAAAATGTTGGGTCTTTGCCTGGTATTATTACAAGAAATGTTAGTTAAAGACAAAAACAGATTAATATTCAGCTGTTAGAAATCACCATAGTCCTAGCTTTAGCTAATGCTGATTTCCACAATTCCTCCCAATACCTCTTTAAAGAAATATAAACTAATGTATCTTACATATTACTGCATTGAAATAAATTAAATTCCAATAATACGCCATTAAAAAAGCTTAATAGATTTTTTTTTTATTTGTTTCCCATGGATAAAAAACCCAAAAATATTTAAACAAGGCAATACAATTAAAATCCATTAAAAGACACTGGAGTTTGGGCAGGAAGAATAATTCTAATCTTTAAGGCATAAGAAAGAGAACTCAGGAAAAAAGTGAAAATGTATTTATCTGCAGCACTAAGCGGTTGAAGCTCTCCTCTTGGGATATTATCTCAATCTACTGTCTCCAGAGTATTTTAAAAAATACTACCTTTTTTTATAAACTTGATTGACCTCCAAACTGCTGACACATTTTCACTCAGGTTTCTCTGTTTTGAGATATTTATGGAAGCTGCATAACAGCACCATGCTCCACTGCCACAATATGTAATCCTTCCTCTTTCTATTTTTTACTTTTCTCAGTTTAAAAGGAAAGAGGATCAATACATGGGCTTCCAGGAGAAAGAACCCCCCAACCCAAAAACGTTTTCCCACAAAAGAATTTATTATTGTGTTTAATTGTTTAAGTTCTACAAAATGCCTTTTGGCAGAAAAGTCAAACACTTCATTTTAAAAAAATACCCTTAAATATAATTCCTTTTTAGCATGGGAAGAACACTATTAAAGGAAGATACATCTCCTTTTCCTGACGGTGTTAGTGTTTTCTGAGTCATCTTCTCCTCCCACATTCTGTATTTGTTTACTGTTGCACTAAAAACCAGAATCCTCCCCTTCCCAACCAAACACGGTATCAAAATCGGTGTTTTTACTCATAAATGTAACTTCAAAATGTCAGCTCTGGCTACAGTAAAGCTCTGTAACTTGTGCGTAGCCCATGACCAGTCAAAACTGCTGAAACTTGTGAACTATGTGGTGGGGCTGGCCTGCCTGTATCCCACTTCCATGCCAGCTTTTGCATTCGTCAGAATTGCTCGCTTTACCATTTGTGAAATTGTTTTGACAGCTGTTCATATATTGCCAGTTAATCCAAGCTCAGTAATACAATTTTAAATGCTAGTTCAGACACTAGATGTGTTCCAGGGTACACAAGTTTACTGGCCCCGATTCAGAAAGTATTCTAAGTGACATTTCTGAAATAAGACAGTGTGTCCAGTGGATGGGAACTTGGAATTTAGCTAATACGAGTCTTTAAAGCTTCTCAGCTTTATGACAAGCATCTTTAAAGAAGGCACCTTCAAAACGTCAACACATTCATTTAGACTATATGATTCCAGATAACAGTTCCCTGAGTCCTACTAAGTAGAGCCAACTCCCAGTCGTCCACATGCTACAGATGGAGAGACGTATCTCTGATTCTCTGCTGAATTAATCTAAGTACAGAACAGCTTATTTAGTTGAGACCCAGGATCAGCTGAATTTCAAGAACACATAAGCTGGCTTCAGCACAGCAGATGTTACACATAGCGAGCTGTACCTGGGCTGCTCTAGTAAAGTCTAAGTGCAGGTAACTTGTGTGCGCTGGTATTTTCAGCACAGGGCAGGCACAGTCAGGGGAGTTTGGGCCCTGTATGCTTCCACTTCCATGTCTGCAGAATACTTGCTATCTGAGTTTTCCCATGACCCTGGATGTTTCACACACACACCTCAAATTTCCGCTAACCAGGTGGCAAAAGGCCAGTTAGTGCCACCATCCCTGAACATTACTGATGCAGTTGCACAGCTCAGCAATGCAGCACAGAACAAAACACCTTGGTTTATGCTTCCAGAGTAGTTTTAATAAAAATGTTGATCTTTGGGCTAGGTCTGTTTGACTTCTGTTTACACACTTTTGCAGAGCCTATCATAAACTCCAAGGCCATGACCTGGACCCTGTCCTTTGTTCTGACATAAAATAGCAATTAAGCCTATTTGTACCTGGAAGATACTTGGGTAAAAAAGCAGTAACCGGGGTATCCTGTCTCTTCATTTCGACAGCTGGACTGGGAGAAAAATGGCATCACACTTCAGCAGGTGCTGACGCCGTCTGCAGTCCATCGGAGCCCCTCGCTCACACAGCACTCCCAACCTGCCTGCGCACAGCGAGTCCAAACCACCCCAGCCCTTGCATGAGACAAAGTCACCCTGTGCGGCACACACGTGGCAGGCAGGGACTCTGCTTTCCTCGCAGACCCTTGGAAAAAATAGGTGATGGCAACATCCAATATAAAGGTTTCTATTACTTTGCCAGCCAGTAAAACATGCAGTCTGATGGCTGCAACGCCACTGTAATATAGTTGTGCCTCAGTTCTCCCCTTTGATACAGCATGCTTATATGCTCCATATGCAGCACAAAGGAAGGTCTCTACGGCTGCTTATGCCCCCTCACACTCCCCGATCTGTCAGCTGATCTCTGAAAACACATTACGTTTTATCTAGCTGTGCATATTGCATTAAGGCGAGTCACGGTACCTTTTATTTGCTGACAAAGCACTTCATTCAGAACATACTAGCTATTGCTCACGTATTGCCAGGCAGCTTAGGTATAGCACTGAGACACTTGATATTTGGTATTAGGTATTCAAAAGAAAACCAGCTCTGAATAATGAATAATAACATTTTCTTTAGAATTCTTTCTATGTATCACCATGACACTAATAGCGGAAAGAAGGGTAAAAACCCATTATCTAAAAAAAAAATCATAAAAGCACAGTCATTTCCCAAGAAGACAAGCTTTGCAGAAAACAAAGGAATGTGATACTTTTAATATTTTGCTTAAATCTACCGAGAGCTTGTTCCAGGTAGCAGGGTAACTTGGCAACAACTACAGTTTTCTCCGAAGAGATGAAAATACTTTGATAAATATCTTTAATTTTCTCTTGCCTTCAAGTCATACTTATAATTGGTGCGTTGATACAGCATTCTCACATTCCAGTGCATGCAGAAGACAGTAAGTAAGGCCCATTTTATTTGAAAAAAGGAGAAGAAGAAAAAAGAAAACAGAATGGTACGTAACGTATGATCATTTTCACCACTTGTATTCACAGTAACAAAGTCACACTTGGCTCTTAAGGACTATTGTACTTTTTTAATCCCAAGGCTTCATTGCATCTCTGGAAAAAGGCAGATTTTCTCAGCTGTTACTTTCCCACCTCAGGGTAAAAAAGGTGTTAGTTTTGTGTAGCTACGCTCCTTGGCCTGCGCAGTCCTACAGGCAGTGAAGTGAGGAGGAAAGCCTTCGACTGCTCTGACAAACATGTACTGTCATGAGATACAATGCACTCTTCATGTTACCATGACGTGAACCAACATACAGCAAAGTGATGCTCTACAGCGGCTGTTACGGCTATCACATCTCTGCTGCCGCTCACTGCCACAGAGAGCTCGAAAGATAAAGAAGGGGAGCCGGGACACAGGCACTTGCATTACCCCCCTTGCAAAGCTTCGACTATGAGCCTCGCTGGGGACTGAGGCAAGCGCAGAGAACAGCATTCCTCCTCTGCCTTCTGCTTCTGCATCGCACTGGGCTGCAAGACAGCCCACCGGCAGGACCGCACCAGTAACACAGAGGTGCCCTGGTCCTCTCCTTTCTGTGGAAACTCATCAGCAAACTCCAGTTCGATCCCATCTGAATGGGTGTTACCTACCAGAGCAAATGCCGCAGCGGCCCCTGAGCTGGGCAGGGGGCTGGAGCACCAGAGTGTACGGAGGGGCTGGGAGACCAGGGTCCATTCAGCCC